TGGGCAGGAAGAGCTGTACTGGGATTGTAAGGAAAGATTGATTTTATCCTTTTAATTGGGGGGTAAAGAAAAAGGAAGTTTCCAAAAGGATTTTCATATGCTAAAGGAGACTCCCTAGGATCCTGGAAATCTGCCTATTGTCAAGGTAAGGTTGTATTTTGCCTCTAGCAAAGCATTAATATTAAGGCAGTTGTGAGTTCCTTGAAGAATGTCATACTCTGCCTGTATCAGGTATTTATCAGTGGGCTGCAAGTTGTAAGGAAATTTAATTTTATCTACATTTCTCTTGACCTTGTTCTCCTTACCATCATACATGCCTGCAATATCTGTAGATTTGGGTGAATTCCTCTTCTTGAGGTCCTCCAAATATTCTGACATTCCTGCATCTGCCAGGAGGTAATGTCACTTTACTCACTTGGTAAGACTTCTGAGAACTCTGTAAGGTGTCAAGCCAACATTTCCAAGGGACTCTATTGGCTTCAAGCTTCATAAAGTCAACCTTACTTCCTTAAAGCTGTATGATCATATCTGATCTATGCACACCTCTCTCAACTATGACTTCCAGTTAAAGTCTTAGTAAAATAACAAATGTTTCCAGTGGTGCCCTGTTACTTGATGAACAGACTCTACTAATGCAAATAATTGTAATTGCCATGAAAGAAAGAATAGTCACTGAGAGTTTTGCATTTCAGGGTTCAGGTAGAGAGAAAAGTTAAATGCTTCACATTTAACTCTCAGGTAGAGAGAAAAGTTAAATTTGTTCACAAAGGAATATTTTATCATATTTCTGTATATCAGGGATATTTTAGAGAAAATTTCCTTAATCTAGCAAACCAGCAATGTTTCAAACAAGAGTCGCAAAAAACTATATCTTCCTCAATTTATTTAGTTTCCTGTTACTCATTCAGTTTGCAGTTTTTTTTAGTTAGTTTTGGAAACTTACCCATTTTAGTTTTATGATTTTAAAGATGTAAAAAAACCTCTATTTGTCAAAAGTCCTTTTAATGAATCTCCTGGAAGATGAAACATGTTTTACAAGAGAATAAGAACAATAACTATATATGACAAAGGCTTAAATATGGACACGGTGAAAAATCTGATAGGATAGTTCATTATAATAAAGCTGATAAGGAAATTCCGTTATTTCCATGACACATAACACTTCAAGAATCAGAATATCAAGTACTGGCCTTATACCAAAACATATGAAAACTTCAGGAATTTCAGATAATCTCTAGAATAGCTGTAGCATTTACCCAAGCAATATAACCTAAGGTTTGTCATTATTTGTTTAACACTGCTTTTAAAGTAACTTAACATACGAAATAAAAAAGGCCTAATTAGTCAAAAAGATTTCATTTACAATTCAAATCTTGGGGAAGTTTGTTTAAAACCTCAGAAAGTTGGGGCAGCCTGGGTGGCTCAGTGGTTTAGCGCCCGCCTTCCGCCCAGGGCGTGATCCTGGAGACCCAAGTCGTGCTCCCTGCATGAAGCCTGCTTCTCCCTCTGCCTGTGTCTGTCTCTGCCTCTCTCTTTCTCATGAATAAATAAAATCTTTAAAAATAAAATAAAATAAAATAAAACCTCAGAAAGTTATAAAGCAGATGCCTAAATAGGATTACAGATCATTATAAACTTAATTATTTATTTAACCAAGGTGGCAATAAAAGATTCCAAAGGCAAATATGTAGTTATATAGTTGTTAGCAAAACTTACCTCCCTTAATATTGAGAAGTTTTAACCATCTTAAGTAATCAAAGGTCTAATAAAGACAAAATATAAAAGTTTTGGTTTTCCAGGCAGACAAAAGAGGGGAAAAAAACTTTGTTTACATTTTCTTATCAAAAGCAGACCAAGAATACAAGAAAACCTTTCCTTTTTAAAAGAGTGTCAATCTTACCAGTGTACTTTTTAAAAGATTTTATTTATTTATTTATTTATTTATTTATTTATTTATTTATTTATTTAGAAGGAGAGCGCACCCACAAGCAGGGGTAGAGGCAGAGGGAGGGGGAACTCCACCAGACCCCACACTGATTACAGAGCCCAACGGGAGGCTCAGTTCCACAACCCTGAGATCATGACCAGAGCTGAAATCAAGAGTCAGACACTTAACCAACTGAGTTACCCAGACACCCCAGTATACCAGTGTACTGGAAGTTTTAGAATATAGTTGAGGTTCGGAGTCGATGACCAACAAAGAATTCTTGAGATGTCTTTGGTGCAAAATGGTGGTTTTATTAAAGCATGGGGACAGAACCCGTGGGCAGGAAGAGCGGCTGTCCCCACCTGTGAGGAGTGGCTGATTATATGCCTGGGAGTTGGGAGGGGTTTAAGGATAGTGTACTCTCTAAGGAATTTTGGAAGCAAGGTTTCTAGGACCTTGAGGGGGTTAGCTAATGTTGGGAAAGGTCATTTATTACTATCTAATAAAACCTGAGTCATGAGACCCTTTGGATGGATATTGGTGGTACATGTGCTTGGAGGATGATTGCCAACATGTATCTTGGGGGTTTAGAGATAAAAGAAATTTCTAAAGGAAATTTTATATGTTAAAGTAGGCTTACAGGCTCCTGGGGGTTGGGCTAAGATTGCCTTCTGCCCTTAGCAAAGTATGAACATTGAGGCAGTTAAGTCCGTAGAGGAATGTCCCTTTGCCTGTTTCAAGGACTTGTCAATGTGTTGCCCCTGGCTCATGCTTGTCCTCAGCTAGCCCTGTGTTCCCCCAACAAGTAGGTTTCATGATTTTTAAAAAACATGTTTTTCCATAGTACAATCTTTTAATAAAGCACAAAGCCTTTTACCAACAGATGCAAATATCCTCAGCTTCTTTGCAATACGAAGCCAAAAGCATACACCTACATTCCATCATCAATGCTTTAGTGTTTTATCCTATTTGGAAAAGACTTAAATGTCCAACGAATTCAATCCAATTCACCATCCAAGCAAAACTTTAAGGTTTCAGGTTACCAAAGACTTTGATAGCTATCTTAACAATTACCCATGAAAACTATGACACAGACAAAATTAAGTATCATTTTAAGTCATCCTTTTGCTGACAAATTGTAAAAGAAATAACAGGAGCTTATTTGACTTTAGTAAACCTTGGTAGAATTAAAGTTTCATACATAATGCTGGTAACTCTAAAGATAGGTCTCTCTTAATTAAACTTAACAAACTTAAATTAATTTAAATACCAAATACCTTCCACTTGGCTCCACTTAAAAGTCAATGTGTTCCCCATTGTCAATTTTTACTTGGGACACCAGTGGGGTAATCTGAAGTGGGTGGTTTAAGTCCAAGGGGGTGCTCTCTGCTCCTTGATAGCAATGGTAGAAGGAGGAGCCAAAGGCATTGGAGGCACCCAGGATGATATTGGAGTCAGTTGTGCAAGTCACAACCAAGCTAGAGCAGAATCAGGAAGGGGAGGAAAGGGGAGGACAGAAGAGGTGAGGTGCTGCCAGCAAGGTTGGAGGTAGATAAAAGCCCAGAGGGCAGAGGAAGTAGACTCCCTGTCCTAATGCTTATCAGCTTGGACAGGTGAAAGACATGTTTTCTTTCTACCAAGTGAAAATAGGAGTCCACATCAGGACAGAGGGACTTCCCTGAAACAAAAGGAGTTTGACAGCTGCTTGGGAATATTCCTTAAAGTTCCCATCCTGAGATAGACTAGCCAGAGAAAAATGGCTCCAATCATAGCCTTTTACCCAGAAAATGAATGAGAGAGAAGCCCCCACACACAACAAGAGTAACCAGGGTGTATTAGGAGGAGGAACAGTGAGAGAGTCATGTCCTCTTTGTGAGGGATCGCCTGTGATTCCTCCAACAGCTTGGGTTTATTAGGAGGAGGGAGGCCTGTTTAGGACTGTTTAGGAGGACTGTTTAGGAGTACTGGGGCCATACAGTGTTAGGGAAGGACCATTACTAAGAAAATCCCCCCAAACTCCCAACTCCCAGGTGGTGTCCCATGCAGGATATGTCAGAGGTTCCTAGTGTTAAAGCAACTGGGGCATCCTTTGAACTAAATCACTATGAACACTGCCTTGTCCTGTAGGAAAGATGCTGGCCTTTGCCCCTGCTTCCCCATTTCATGCTAGGTTACAAATGGCACTGGTGTATGGGCCAAAGAAAAACCCACCATTTTATCCCATGGAAATCACTAGAAAAACTTTACAAGGGTAAATAGCCCAATATTGTGATTTAAGCAGTTAGTAGAGGACATTGACAGAAAACAGTTAAAATAGAAATCCATCATGGGGGCACCTGGGTGGCTTAGTCAGTTAAGTGGCTGTCTTCAGCTCAGGTCATGATCCCAGGGTTCTGGGATCGAGCCCCACATTGGACTCCTTTTTCATCGGGGAGCCTGGCTTCTCTGTCTCCCTCTGCCTGCTGCTCCCCCTGTTTGTGTTACTCTCTCTTTATCTCTATCTCTGTGTGTCAAATAAATAAATAAATAAATAAATAAATAAATAAATAAATAAAATCTTTAAAAAAATTAAGAAATAAAGAAAAAAATTTTCAAGGTCTAAGTGACATTCCAGCACTTGTAGTCTTTCCAGCCGACTTCCCTAGGAAGATGTTCCCCAGTTGGGTTTTAATTCATCTGATACAGTTTTTGGCCAGCTCCTACTGGAGGTCTCATAGTCAAAAGTGGCTAGACCAGAGATGTGAAGGGGATCACATTAGACCAGTGAAGAGGAAACCACACACAGGAGTCAAGGTCAGCAGCCATCCTAGTAACTTAGCTGCCCTGTGCTCAAGAAAGACAACTTTGTAAAACAGTAAGAACAAAGGGAGAGCATCAAGTTTCTGGGTCTTATTACCATTCTGGCCAGAGTACTAGCCTCCAGGTGAAAGGCAGTCTTTTGCTCCCTCCCATCGAGTAGCCACAGGATAGAGGATTGCAGCCTGAGTGATCAACATGAAAGTGCTCCAATAAGACCACACTCCTTAAAAAGCTCCTGAAATGAAAGCAAAGGAAGAGAAGAGGAACTACTTACTAAATTTGCATCCAGGCTTAGAATCCAGATGAGAAGACTCAGGTTACATACTGGGCACCAAGATGATGTGATGTGGGCCAGCAGCAAAAGTTCAAGAAAGCATTGTTGAGATGTTTTCGGTACAGAACGGTGTTTTTCTTAAAGCTGGGAGACAGGACCTTTGGGCAGGAAGAGCTGCACTGGAATTGTGAGGAAGGATTGATTATATACTTTCAAGTTGAGGGGGTGGTAAAGACAAAGGAAATTCCCAAAAGGATTTTCACATGCTAAAGAAGACTTACTAGGATCCTGGACTTCTGGCTGATGTCAAGCTAAGGCTGCATTTTGCCTGTGGCAAAGTATTAACATTAAGGCAGTTGTGAGTTCCTTGAGGAGTGTGTTACTCTGCCTATTTCAAGTATTTGTCAATAGGCTGCAAGTGGTAAGGAAATTTAATTTTATCTAGCTTTTTTGCCTTTATTCTTCTCATCATTTACAACTTTATTATTGGCTAAATAATATTCTATTTTATTTACAATGCATATTTTAATTAACAATGTATTTAACCAATCTATTGTTGAGTATTCAAGTTATTTTCAATTTTTGCTATTATAAACAACACTGCAATAAACTACATATTCATGCATATTCATACATTTCCTTAGGATGTGTATGAACAATTATTTCTTTAGTATATATTCCAGGGGGTGGGGGGCACCTGGGTGGCTCAGTTGGTTGAGTGTCTGACTCTTGATTTCAGATTAGGTCATGATCTCATGGGTCATGGGATTGAACCCCACCTTGGGCTCCACACCCAGTGGGGAGTCTGCTTGATATTGCTTTCCCTCTGCCTCTTCCCCCACTTGCACATACATGCACTCTCCCTCTCTCTCTGTCTCTCTCTCAAATAAATAAATAAAACCTTAAAAAAAAAAAGGATATACTCCATGAAGTGGACTTTCTTAACCAATGGATGTAAATCTGTGTCATTATTCTCTGCATCTTCTATTACTATGAATGATATATCGTTTCTATGATTATTTAATCCAAATTTAGAATAGAATTCTAAGTTGCTCATCCTACAGAAGTGGGAATCAGTGTGGAGCCTTGGGGAAGAGCCAGAGGCAGCTGTAGCTGGAGTGTGGTGGGCAGGGAGAGAGAGGAAAGAGATGCACAGGTGAGTTCAGAGCAGGAGGAGAGCAGACCATGATAACAGGTCATGAGGAGCTCAGCTTTTGTTCTAATTGTAAGAGGAGCTCATTTGAAAGTTTTAAAAAGGGGAGAGCTTGATATAACTTACACTTTAAAAACAATCTCTCCAATTCCTTTTTGGAGAATATGTGAGGAAAAAGTAAAAGTAAGGTCAATTAGGAGGCCAGCGGTCGTACAAGGGACAAGTATTGGTGGCTTAGTCAAGATGTCAGGGACTCTGCTGCAGGTTTCAGGATGGACTATACACACTCTTCTCTCATAATATGTGTACATAGGGAGGAAAATGTCAAGGGCTGTACCACTGCCTGTGGGGCATTAATGTCTGTATTTATGAGGGTGCAGGTGAAGATGCTGTGTTAAAAGATCCCAAACATATTCTGGTTTAAATAAGGTGCAGGTTTACTTCTGTCTCACATAACAGAGGTGAGCACTCCAGGACTGGGTGAGAGGCTGGCCTGAAAAGCTCAAAATGGTACAATGAGGAGCATATCCTCCACATGTGGCTATCATCTCCAGGTTCTGGATGGATCCTCCAGTTCGTATCTCCGATCCAGTAGAAAGGTAGAAGGAGCAAAGGAATCCATGCTCATTCTTCTTAGAGATATGACCCAGAGTGGCACACAGTTTCCAGCTATATCCCACACTCAGAATTCAGTCACATGTCTACATCAAGCTGCAAGGGAGGCTGAGAAATGTACTCTCTAGCTGGGTTGTCCAGTGCTCCGAGAAAATTCACACATTAATTAAATTAAAGGTGAAGGATATTGGTGACAACTAATAACCTCTCTCATAATGTTTAACTTATCTGCATAGTCATCTGTTATGGACTAAATTGTGTCCCTTCCAAAATATACATGTCAAAGTCCTCACCCCCAGTACCTTAGAATATGGCTATGTTTGGAGATACAAATTTTGAGGTTGAGGTTAAATGAGGTCATAAGGGTGGGACCCTAATCCAATGTGATTGTTGTCCCTATTAGAAGAGGAAAAGACACCGGAATGTGTGCACACAGAGGAAAGGCCATCTGAGGACACAGCAAGAAGGCAGCCATTTGCTAAAATTCTAAAACAACCAGAAAAGTCCTATTCAATAACGAGTTATAAATAAATTTGGCTCTGAGTTTCCTCCGCAAGCAAATAAATCCATATCTTTGCTCTCAACAACCTGTGACTGAAGGCTGCACAGCTGACCCTTGAACAATGTGGAAGTAAGGAGTACTCACCCCCTGTGCAGTCAAAAATCCATGTATAATTTTAACACCCCCAAATTTAATTACCAATAGCCTCCTGTTGACCAGAGCCCTTACTAATGACATAAACAGTCAATTAACACATATTTTATATGTATTATATATTGTATCCTCACAATGAAATAAACTAGAAAAAAGAAAACATTAAGAAAATCACAAGGAAGACGAAATATATTTATTCTACTGTACTGTAAAAAGTCCACGTACAAGTGGATCCATGCAGTTCAAACCCGTGTTGTTCAAGGGTCAACTGTGTTTCCCTTTATATATATAAATTATTAAATCAGGAGTCCTCACTACATATTTGTGTGCCAGGATTAAAAATTTAATAATATACTCAGAAAAAAAATCCTTATTTTTTATAACTGGTCTAATTTTTTCCCAAACTCCAAAGTTGAACAGGATGACAAAGTTCACCTACAGGTCAATGAGGCTCCATAAGACACTCTAAGGGCCATTGTGTACATTTCTGAGGTTGAGCCTTTCCTTGTCACCATGAAGTCCCATAAACTCCTGCTCACACAGAATCCATTTGGGAAAGGAGAAGGGAGAGCAAAGGTCCTCTAATGAGCATTTACTCAAGGGTGTTTGCATTTGAAATAGAATGGTTGAACCAGAAGCCACTGAGCTATCTGTAATACACAGGTTTGAGCACCACCTCAGCCTCCATCCTTGCTCCCCAGATGAGCTGAAATAGTTTTCATGAAGTCTTCACTGAATGTGTAGAGAGACTAGAGGCACCATCTAGACAGCAACTTAAAACCATCATGTTCATCGGAATCCAAGTTAATGATGGTTTCTTAAATGGGATTTCCTGATTTTTAAGAAGCTTCTGCATTATTGTTTTCAGCAATTAGTGTTAACTTCATATTAAAAGCAGCTCTAATATTAGCCCAAAAAAGTCCATGTTTGCTCTTCTCCTTGGGCCATTCCAAGTAAGTCCGCTGCGTCATGAGAGCCCTCAGCTTGTGATACTTGCTGGGAATGCAGTTCTGTGGAATGGGTTCCAGCAAGATCAAGATTAAGTTATTAGATCCTTCATGAAAGAGATTGTGGTGGGCAAAGTACAGTTCATAATGGCACCACTCACTCTGAACAAAGTTGGGAGATAAAACAAAGATGGACTTGTAACTTTTCTCAATGCAGTTTATGATATTTTCCACAATGCTCTTGCCAGGAATAAAGTTTCTCTCATGGAGACAAATCCTTAGTTCTTCTTTTTCTAGACAGGGTACCAGTTCATTTTTCACCCAGGCAGAATCATGTTCACTGTATGAAATAAAAGCATGGAACTGGATGTTTCTTTGGAGTTCTTCTAAGGGTGTGTTTCTTGCCCTGCGCCGGGTCTGGGTCCACTGAAACACCATCCTAAGATACCAGGGCAGATCAAAGTAGATGCAGAGGGCAGTCACAGTAACAGTGAAGATCAGCACAGCGACCCCAATGGTGACAAGCAACAGAGTTGTGTTGCAGGATAACTGAGACACGTGAAAGTCCTTCAGTAGGGTTCCCTTATAGTTTTCTGGATAGTCACACTTATAAGAATCAGGCCAACCCTCTACTACTTTGCTTGCTACCTGGCCTAGACTTTGGACAAATTCTCTCAGCTCACATGTACATTGGAAAGGATTATTCCCTGCGCTTATGGACCTAATGTTATGGCAGCTCTGGAGGAAATCAGCTGATGGATTGGAAATTGAATTAGAGTCAATGATCAGTACAGAAAGCCTATTAAAAGTACCACAGTCAGGAAAGTGGGCTAAAGAATTGGAAGCAACATTGAGTTCTTGCAAATCTTCTAGCTTCATGATTGGGTTAGGAATGCTCCTTATTCTGTTATCGTGAAGATCAAGTACCTTGACCTTGGGAGGTAAACATCTGAAAACAGAGTCAGTAAGTATATTTGAAGACAAATTTAACACCACTATACTCCCAACCCAAGTGCAATTTCCATCATATCTATCATATTCCAAAGAATTCACACTAACATCCAATATTTCCAAAGATGTCATATGCTTCGTCATGAGACCTACTTTGTAAAGGTCTTTCAATCTATTCTTTTGTAAGATAAGTGTTTCCAATCTAACTAGGTGGGAACAACTTTGAAAAACACTATCTGTGAAAACATTCTGGGTAAAGTTCAAAAACTTAAATGTGTTTGATGATGGAGGACAAAGCATGTGTATAAAAGGTGTGTCTGATATGGTTAACATCATAATGTTCATCTCAGAAAAAATTGTGTATAACGCTGTCTGTGAAAAAAGAAAAACTTCATTTTTAACATGCTCTATTTTCAATGCTTTCAGTGCTGTTTTAGGATAATGAATATATTCCTTATCAATGCTTTCAACGATTGTTAAATTATAAATATTGAGATACTGTACAGGTTTGGGCCAAAGAAATTTAAATATTCTAACCAGGCATTTCCAAGTTGTTTTCACATGTTGGAGAGTAAAATTCAGTAAAGTTGGACCTCTGGTGAGTTCTGATAAAAATTGAGTTAAAACTTGACAGTTGTCATTATTCAACTTAATATTAGTCAGTTGTAAGCACCCTAAATTATTAACTAACATGTTTGCTTGGACAGAGAATAACTGATTTGGATGAAAAACAAGATGAAGTGTTTTTGTATCTAGAATTTGAAGACTTCTTTTTTCACTTTCTTTTGCATAATAACCTTGTAAATCCAGAAGGATATAACTTAGATGCAAATGAGCAATTGGTAGCAGATCTAATTGCCGTAACTTTGTAGCACTTAAACCTAAGAATTGTAGTTGCGTCAAGTTGCCAAATTCCTTACAAATGGGCAGGACATGAAAGTCATTGAATGAGAGGTCTAAATGCTTGAGACTCCTGATAAGATGGCAGGACATGTTCCGTAACTGATTGTAAGATAAATCCAAATATTCCAAATCCTGGTTGAACTTGAAAATGCTAAAATCAAGCCACCAGATTCTATTATGAGAAATTCTCAATATTTTTAGCCCTGAGAGATAGCTCATGTCAGAGAGGTGAAGCTCAGATATGTTGTTCTGAGACATATCTAAGATTTTGGTTTTTGGTGGCAGGTCTCCTGGGACATGAGTAAGGTTCATATTTGACATGTCTACTGCAAATTCACTTTCATCAGAGAATTGGATTATGGTTCCAACTATTAAGGTCACAATGTACACAAAATGGAAGCTTCCAGTGATAGAGTCTTTGTCTTTGATCATGATGTTGAAATGACTATTCCCCAAAGGGTTGTTGCTGTTCTTCAGAGCATCTTGATATGTGTCCAAATTCTAAAAATATAACACACATTTAAAAAAAATAAATAAATAAAATATATAACACACATTAAGATGTATAAATTTTGAATGATTGCTCCTCAAACCTCCACTTTCTAATCACAAAATCTCAATGATCTTTTCATTCACTATCAGAGTCATTTCTGTCCACATAATTAAGTGTGATATTTTTCCCAGTTATGCAGCTTGCTGGTACCAGGGGAGGCAATACAGACCTTGTTACCGAATAATTGTGGTTCTGGGTTTTATCCTGTCTGGGCACTCTCTGAGGGATCCACTCAGGGGCTTAGCTTTGTTTAACCCTCTTCAGAACTTTCTCAGGACTGGAACAGTCTCCTGGGTAATGTTTACTGAAAATCTTTAAAGGCAAACATACCAGCCACAGGCACCTGGAACAAAGAATAACAAATGGGACAAACAGCACACACACCCAAAAGCCAAGGAAGGAAGAGGCTGGGAAAAGAAATACAGGGGAGAAAAAAGTATTGGGAAAGCTCCATGTATACCAGGAAATCTAGAAAGCCACACATGTGTCCAGGGCTATCTGCATGCTCAAAAGACCTAAGAAAATCCTAAACTTTCACCCCTGGCTGACCATTGGCTTTGTGAAAGCAGAAAGTGAAGGCTAGGGCAAAGTTGCAAATAGCCTGGTTAAACATGGAGGCAATGCATCAACAGAGAGCCAATGGTATCTCATTGTTTTAATTAGCAATTCTCTTATGACATATGATATTGAGTATCTTTTCATATGCTAATTTGCTATTTGGTGAAGTCTCTGTTCAGATCTTTTCTCCATTTTTAAACTGTGTTATTTCCTTATTGCTGAACTTAAGAGTTCATTATATATTTTGAACACAAGTCCTTTACCAGATTGTGTTGTGTAAATATTTTCTCCAAGCTAGAGTCTTATCTTTTCATGTCTTAATGGCATCTTTTAAAGTAGAAAGTTTTAATTTTAATGAAGTCCAACTTAACAATGTTTTCTTTCATGGATTATGCTTTTGATGTAGATCATCTCTATACCAAGGTCGCCTAGATTTTCTCCTATATTATCCACTAGAAATTTTCTAGTTTTATATTTTACATTTAGATTTATGATCCATGTGGGGCTAGTTTTTGTGAAAAGTGTAAGGTCTGTGTCTAGATCCTTTCCTCTTTGTTGTTGTTGTTGCATGTGGATGTCTAATAGTTCCAGCACCACTTATTGAAAAGACTATCTTCTTTACTGAATTGTTTTGCTTCTTTGTCAAAGACCAGTTGGCTATATTTGTGTCAGCCTGTTTCTGAGTTTTTCATTCTGGTTCATTGACTTCTCTGTCCATTCTTTCACCAATACCATACTGTCTTGTATACAGGAAGTCTTGAAGTTGGGTAGTGTTACTTCTCTTTCTTCTTTTCTTTTTTTCTTCTATAAATGGATAATAGTTTCTAATTTATTTGCATGCCTTCTATCCCAACTCTATGGCATTCATTTTTATAAAGGCAGAACTAAAGATAAAATACAAAGATCAATGGTTGCTAGTGTTTGGGAGAAGAGAGAGATGAATAACCAGGACAAAGAGGATTTTTTAGGACAGTAAAACTATTCTATATGATATTGCAATTGTGGATATATGAACTTCTGCATTTGTCAAAGCCCATAGAACTATACAGCACAAAGCCTGAATCTAAGTGTAAATCATAGACTTTAGTTAACAATAATATATCAATTATATAATGTGCCTCACTGATGCAAAATTTTGTAATAGGAAAAGCTGTATACTGTGGAGAAGGGGTACATGGGAACTCTCCTGGACTATTTGCTCAATTTTTTTCTAAAACTAAAACTTCTCTTTAAAAATGGAGTCCATTAAAAAGAGAAGTATATAGAAATGCAAGTTTTTTGTATATTAATTTTGTATGCTGCAATTTTACTGACTTTATTTAATAATTCTAGTAGTTTTGGGGGGACTCTTTAGGGTTTTCTATATACAGTATCATGCCTTATGTAAATAGTGAAAATTGTACTTCTTCCTTGCCAATTTGGATGCCTTATATTTCTTTTTCTTATCTGATTACTATGGCTAGGATTTCCAGTACCATGTTGAATAAGAATGGTGAGAATGGACATCATGTCTTGTTTCTGATTTTACAGAAAAAGCTCTCAGTTTTTTACCATTGAGTATGATGCTAGCTGTGGGTTTTGCATATAAGGTCTTTATTATGTTGAGGTTTGTTCTCTGTAAACCTACTTTGACTGAGATTTTTATCATGAATGGATGTTATACTTTTCAAATGCTTTCTCTGCATCTATTGAGATGATCATATCGTTTTATCCTTTCTCTTGATGTGCAGTATTACGTTGATTACTTTGCAAATACTGAACCATCCTTACATCCTTGGAATAAATCCCACTTGATAGTGGTGAATGATTTTTTAAAAATGATTATTAGATTCAGTGTGCTTATATTTGATGAGGATTTTTGCATCTATATTCATCAGAGATATTGGCTTGTAGTTCTTTTTTTGTGTGTGGTGTCTTTTTTTGGTTTTGGTTTCAGGGTAATGCTGGCCTCACAGAAAAAACTTGGAAGCTTTTCTTCGTCTTTCATTTTTTGGAATAGTTTAAGAAGACCAGATATTAACATTTCTTTAAAGTTTGGTAGAATTTGTCTGTGAACCCATCTGCTCTTGGACTTTTGTTTTTTGGGAGTTTTTTTTTTTATTACTGATCCAATTTTATTGCTAGTAATCAGTCTGTTCAAATTTTCTATTTCTTTCTGATTTAGTTTTGGAAGGTTACAAATGGATTTTACCCATTTCTTCTATGTTGTCCAATTTGAATTTAAGAGATACAATCCCATTTACAATTGCACCAAAAATAATAAAATACCCAGGAATAAACTTAACGAAGGAGGTGAAAGATCTGTACTCCAAAAACTATAAAACATTGATGAAAGAAATTGAAGATGACACAAAAATTTTAAAATATTCCATGCTCATGAATTGGAAGAATCAATATTATTAAAATGTCCATTTCACCCAAGGCAATCTATAGATTTAATGAGATCTCTATCAGTATACCAACATCATTTTTCACAGACCTAGAACAAATAAACTTTGTTTGGAAGAACAAAAGACCCTGAATAGGGCAGCCCAGGTGGCTCAGCGGTTTAGCGCTGCCTTCAGCCCAGGGCATGATCCTGGAGACCTGGGATCAAGTCCCACATCAGGCTCCCTGCATGGAGCCTGCTTCTCCCTCTGCCTGTGTCTCTGTCTCTCTTTCTCTCTGTGTCCCTCATGAATAAATAAATAAAATCCTTAAAAAAAAAAAAAGACCCTGAATAGCCAAAGCAACCTTGAGAAAGAAGAACAAAGCAGAGGTATCACAGTCTCAGATTTCAAGATATACTTCAAAGCTGTAGTAATAAAAAAAAAATGATCCTGGCACAAAAATGGACACATAGATCAATAGAACAGAATAGAGAGCCCAGAAATAAACCCACATTTATATGGTCATTCATCTACAATAACAGAGGTAAGATTATGCGATAGGGAAAAGGCAGTCTCTTCAATGAATGGTTTTAGGAAAACTGGGCCACTTAAACCATACACAAAAATAAAATCAAAATGGATTTTAAAAAGTAGGGGAGAGAAGGAGAAGAAGAAGGTATTAATAGAAATGGTTTCTGAAGAAGCACAGGCATTCGCTTACTGGACAATGGTATTAAATCAATTGTCTTAAAAGTTAACTACATGACTATGGCCTCTTTTCATTGGACTTAGAGGATATTTTATTCTCTTTTAAAGGGCACTCCTTTATCCCTCCAAAATGTTATATCACTCAGTGTGATAATTTAAAATTTTACAAAAGGGCAATCAAGGAGTTATTCCCAGAAGCTATAAGACATTCTCAAGAGTTTACACCAGTATTCAATTTGGCACTAAAATCAGCCATCTGTTGCAACCAGTGACTTCTCATGGGTAAAGGGTTAACAAACCCATCTATCTCTTGCTCCAGTGATTAATCTTACCAATGATTAACTTTCTAGCTCTTTTCTGATAATCTGACACATGTAGAATGTCCACTATGTTACCAGAAAACACTACTTTTTGGCAAAAATGACTCTTGAATGGTAAATAGTATCCATGTTAAAAGGACTATATATGAACTGTAAGTACAAAGTAAGAAGCCTATGCTATATTTCCTCTCCTACATCTTTCCAAGAAAGTGAACAGTGTGGCCTATTAGGGCTTGTTGGTGTGAATGATTAGATGAACCTGAGATAAACTCCTGGTGGTCATTGAGAAACCATGCACTCATTTGGCCAGACTTTCAAGTCCTTAGCTAAGATCAGTCAAGGCAACATGAAGTAAAAGGATTGGGGGAGGGGCACCTGGGCAGCTCAATTGATTGAGCATCCAGTTTCTGATTTTGGCTCAGGTCTTGATCTCAGGGTCCATGCTAAGGGGTTCCATACTCAGTAGGGAGTCTGCCTGAAGATTCTCTCTCTCCCTCTGCTCCTCCCCCAGCTCATGCTCACACACTTTCTCCCTCAAATAAAAACAAATCTTTTTAAAAAAGGAATGGTGAGGGATTGGAAGGCGCATCCACCTGTGGCTTGATGCCTAAATCTCTTTGGTACATGACAGGATAAATCCTTTTGTGAAGGTGGAGACTGGAATAAGGCCAAATTTGTGTCACAGTGAAGAACCATCTCTACTTCCATGAATTGGACCTCACTAAAACCAGTTGTAGCTGGGCTAGCAGAGATGATACTACTGTTCATGGAGCCATCTGAGTAGGTATGATTAATATATGCCAAACTGGGCATTAATGACTGGATGAGGGCACACCAGCCCATGGATCCCATGTTTGTGACTGAGACAAAACAGTGGGACTACAATTTTGCAAAAGGTCAAGCAGAAGCTAGTCCCGGGGGCACCTGGCTGGCTCAGTGGTTGAGAGTTTGCCTTTGGCTCAGTTGGTGATCCCAGGGTCCTGGGATTGAGTCCTACATCAGACTCCCTACAGGGAGCCTGCTTCTCCCTCTGCCTATGTCTCTGTGTCTCTCATGAATAAATAAGTAAAATCTTAAAAAAAAAGTAGAAGCTAATCCCAGAAACTAAGACATACACTCATGAGTCTATACCATTCCAGCTCTGATCTGCATGGAAAAGCACTTAAAAGCCCCTGTAGGGAACAAAAGCTAGCAGGACAGACAGGGCCCACAGCTGCCTTACTCCCTTCACAGCATCCTAAGAGCAGCAATGGCAGCTGTGATGTCCACAGGGCAGCATCCTGCACCTACACCAGAATCT